CAGGCACATTTTTAGGATTCCTTTTGGTCTATATATTCATACATAATTAATTCAAAAATAAAAATTTCTTATTTTGATTTTAGGTTTTAACTTTTCTTATGTACTCGTACTTTACGGTTTAAATTGTATTTTATAACTTTGAATTTGTTTGTTTATTTGTTTGTTTGCTTGTTTATTTGTAAGCATTATTTTGCGTCTCTTTCTCATTTTTTTCATTCTTTAACTTTAAGTAATTAAAATTGAATAAGATTTTCATTTTTCTCTCAACTTGTTTTTTTTTAAGAATTTTTTTTTCTTTAGTGAAATTTTTTGATGCTATTAAATAAATTAAATTTTAATATTAAGAACGAGAAAAAAATTTTGCTTTTAATTTTTTCATTGTATATTTTTTGATTATTTCTTTTTCAATTGAAAATTATTCAGTGAATTAAAATTAATTGTATTTTAATTAGCTAGTATATGATTTAAATTAAATTTTTATGTAGTTAATTAAGTATATCTATATATACTAATAATAAAGTAGATGGGGCTTTGGTTGGCGTATATAAAAATAAAAATAAATCTTAAAGACAATTACGAATTTTAATTGAATAATGTGATTTTATATTATGTAAGAATTGTAAGTACAAAGAGTAGTTACTAATGTAATTAAATGTATACGGTAGCTAAAAATTAATTTATGTAAATTATGATTAATGATAAAATGATAGTAAGTACTTATAAGATGTAATAAAATTTGTAAAAAATTTTTGGAACAAAGTATATAATCAAATAAAAATTTGATTATAGACAACAGAAAATAATAAGTGTATAAGTATTTCAAGAAAAAATACACAAGTAGTTAAGCTTTACACTTATGTAGTTATAAAGACTGTAGTCTTAAAACTTGTCTATATTAAGTTGGATGGGGCGTTATAGCTTATACATATATAAATATTTAAAATACTATGAACTTATAGGATTAATTTTTTTTTTTATTCATATAAGTACTTAAATTAAATTCAGGTACCCATGTCAAGAAACCGAATATAGCATAAAAATTTAAAAAAATTGCTAGCGTTAAATTAGGAAAACAAAGAATGCTTTTACTGTTTGTATTTTAATTTCAATTTTATTTCAAAAAATTAAGGGAATTTTTGCCTACATTACGGTTATACTTAATTCGATGTCTTGCCGGGTCGGCAAATTAACGGTAGGGTCTACTGTTAATTTTTAGTACTACACAGCCCTTTTGTTTTTTATATTTTAGTAATTTGAAAAAAATTGTCAAATTTCTATAACCATTTTGTGAATAAATTATTTAGCATTCTAATACTTAAATAAGTATTAATTAAATCTAATTAAAAATATTTATTAATAAATTACCGTGCTTCTATTGAATTTTTATTTTTTTTAGTTATTTACGTGTCAAGGTGAACATTTTTTTTTTTTGTATTTTTAATTATAAAATATATTTGAAAGGAAAATCAATAAACTATACATATATAAACGCACATTATTTTATTTTTTCATATGAGTATGTTTTAAATTTTTATTTAACAATGTGGGATAATAGGCATAATTTTACATGAAAATCTTAACATAATAGGTGAGTAATGTGAGTTGAAAAATTTTACAGCTTACATTAAAAATTAAAATTGCATGCAATAATTTATTAGAAGGACGATTTCATTTTTTCACTATAGTTTTAAAACAATATTATATTTTAAAAAGTCAATATGCAGGAAAAATTTCCCACAATGTGAATGTTTTTGTGGGAGTCACGCATTTTTATCAAAAAATTACGTGATTATAAGAAAAATTTATAGTTACGTATTTAGTTGCCTATTTATTACAGAAAGGTCGTTTTGTACATTTTGAAGCATTGAAATTTTAAAAAACTAATTTATGCTTAAAATATTTTAATTAAGTATTTTAAAAATCGTGCAAGAAAGCTCAAATTAGATTATGTAAAGTAAGTAATTTTTTAATATAATTTAGCATACACATTATATGTGTTTTTTTGTACAATTTTACGATTCTTTCATAAAATTAAGTTTTAAATAAAATTAAAATCCTTTCATACTCATATTAATAAAATAAGATAATTTTTTTTTCATAAATTTAATTTACTGTTTGTTTAATGTGATTTAAATATGCATGGTTTTGCATTTTAAGCCATAAACTAATTGCATAAGTATGTGCGTTAAATATATATGTACATTCTTCTTATGTATGTGACGAATAAAATTCTATAGAGAAATTATTTGTAATTTATCAATCATTCAAAAATATTTGTTCCTGTTCACAGAAATTATGGATGTAGATTTTATTATGATTATAAGGGAGGTTAAGTCTTAAGATTTGAATTCGATGAATAAAACGTACTTATGTTTTTAAGTATTTAAAATTTACTCGTAAGAATTTAACATTAAGTTTTCTCATTTACTCAACATTATTAAGCAAATTTTAAAATAAACTGTCTAATATTAATAAGCTGACCATTATATATTTTTCTTTTATTTAATTATTTAAAATTATTCATAAATATGTACTTCCATAATAGTTAAATTCTAATATTGAAAATGTTTATAAGTAAATGGGTAGAAATATGTTAGTAAAGAATTAGGGCTACTCTTTCAATACTTGCTAAATTATATAAGTATCGCATGAATTCCAAAGTAAAATTTTCTATTCTGTTTATTACATAAACAGAAAACGAGGGTATATACTCAAATTTAATAAAGAATTCTATTTTATTAAAATATTTCGAAAGTATGTGTTAGTACTTACTTTAATAAAGAAAGTATTTATATTACTTACTTACTTAGTTACTTATATACTTAAGTACTTCTAAGTTATTATAAATTCAGAAATAAGTAACTAACTAACTTGTGAAAAATTAACACTATATTTCCTTAAAGTCAATTATAAAAATGTTCATTAATTTTTTAATTAAAATTTTCATTACATATATTTATTTATTGAGATAATAAGAATTATTAGACTTAAGTAATTACTTATTATTTTGCATATTATAATTAACTTTTCATTAATAATAATGTAAGAAATATGAACTTTTAAGTTAGCAAGTACTTATTTATTCAAAAAATAATTTGTGTAATATTTACATGCGAATGGACATGAGATTTTTTAATGAAATACGGACGGAGTAAGTATTTAATGAACCTTAGGTTATCACATGATAGGCTTATGATAGTACATAATATTACTCTGAAATAGTAGTAGATTTGTCACAGTAAGCAAATTATATACTGGTATTTTATATTGTATGTATTTCACAAATCTTTCCGCATAAGTATATTTATATTATAAAGAATATTATTTGTAAAGAGGCTATAATTAAAATGCTTAATTTGTTTTTTGTTTTATTAAGTAGTTTTAATTAATAATCAAGTAAATATTAGAATTTTTTATGGCTCAAATATTCAAAATTCATAGTGTGCACTTTTTAAAATATAAGTAGTTCTTAATTGTATATTTTAGTTATAAAGATTAATTATAATATTTTATAAAATAATTGCATAATTTTTTTTTTAATTAGTGATTTTATTTAAATGAACATTAAAATTATTCCCACTACATAAGTATGTAGTGGGAATAATTTTATACTGTATTGTAATAACGTGAACTTATGTCATACATTATCGGGTAAGTTACGAAAGAACTATAATTATAACTTGTAAAACGGAATTTACATGATTATTACTCATTTGTTGTATTTATTAATCATACTTATTTGATTCATCAAAATGGCGTGAAAATGCCTTCTTAAGTATAGAATTTGAATAAAAATATTGTACATTTTCAGAGAATGTTTTGCAAAAGTTTTTGCTAATATACCTGGGACCTTATTTATGTAACTAAATTTTCGTATTTTCAGAAATTGGAAGCTATCCTCCAATTTTTCCCGAATACGCAAATTATTTCATGAAAATCGAATTACATGGTAAGGCTCAAGGAAGAAATAATTTCTAAATAAACTAATCAGTACAACTCATATAATTAGTTTTGAACTAACCGCATAAGCAGAAACTCACGGAATTTTTTATATGTAAATTACGCACGTGTCAGTCTATCAAAAGTTAATTTATGAAGTTATTAATTATTATAAAAGCAGAAATGTATACTCAGTTTTAAAAATATACACCAGTTCCAGTTTTAAAAATCATAAATTTATCATTCTAAAATACTTAAGTCCTAAAATAATTTGGAAAAATTTTTTGGAATTCAAAAACTCCGAAAGGCCAATAAATTATGATATTTGAATGAATTACTCATTCATCGTTTCAACAACATAAGCAATACAGACTGTGACACACGTCTGTATAAATTTAAGTTCACTGGGATTGCCAAAAAATAAGTACATGCGTACACTTATTTATAATTTTTAAAATGTACTTTTCATAAACGAATTTAGTAAGTATTTGAGCATACTTAACAAAAATAATTTAACTAAGTACCTAACCTAGATTGCGTTATAACTTTGACTCTTATTTTTGCAATAATTCTTGTTTAACCATATCGAAATTTAATCAGTTTTTCTTTCCGTTTTTAATAAATTTTAACTGTCTTTTTACAAGAGCTCCCTGAGAAGAAACGCAAACAAAAATATCGTAAGTGGTCCTTGTTATTTACAAAATAATAACTACTTAAATAAGTATTACAATATACTTAAATAAAAAATTAAATTTATTAAAATATATTACGGCAGACTAGTCACTCGCCTAAATAACCCAATGACTGTCAAAACTGAAATATGATTTAATTACAATGTTATGCAACAGTTCTACGCTCATATTGGGTGTAAAATAGGAAAAAAAAAATGCAATACTGTAGGTATGTAAATTTTTACGAGATTCAGTGTAAAGGTATGTGAGCAATATGCATACTTATAATTAAGTATATAAGTAAATTAAGCTGCTTATATTGAATATACTATTTTAAGTAATAAGTAATTGTAATAGTTAATTAAATTAATATATTAAAGTAGTACTTACCATTTATTTTTGAAAATAAATTTATTTAAATATATTTATTTTTAAATTTAGTTTCTTTTTTATTTTTCGTATAACTTAATTAAATTTTTATTTTCCCATTTTAATTATATACCGATTTATTTTTGTTCCATTTTGTTTTTTTTTTTATTAATTTATTTACTAAGTTATTAATTACATTATATAAGTATTACACACATTTATATACACCAAAAAATATAAGCATTATAACTTTTATATTTTATTTAAGTATTTATTTATTTTTTTTTTTAGAATTTTAAACCATAATAATAAATAGAAATTTAAATTTTAGAAGCAAAAAAACAATAAAAATAAAAGAAGATTAAAATTTATTTACGTTTTTATTATTTAATTTTGTAATTAATTAATTTAATAAAAATAAGTAATAATTTAAAAAAAAAATAAATCGGTAATCTAATATTAATAATGATAATAAATGAAAGTTGGTTAAGTAATTAAGTAGCTGATAATTTTTTTTTTTTAAATTTCAAATTCAATTATAAAAAATTCAATTTTTTTTTGTTTTATTTTAAATATAGGCACACGAAGCATCTAATATCGGATTTAATAATAATTTATAATTTTTTACAAAATGTTGTTTTAAAGTAACGTAGGTACTTAATTATAATAATGAATTTTTAGTAATAATTATAATTTTTTTTTAATTAATTAATTAGAGAAATTGAAATTTATTTTTAATTATTATTTTTTTTTTTACTATATAAAGCACCAGAAAACACACAATTATTATACTCGTTTATGTATAAAATTTAATACCTATATAATATACTCTTATACTTGAGTATAATTAATTTAAATAATCCCGTTATAATAACAATAATTAATAATATTTATTTCGTTATTTTCTATTATAAGATTTAAATTATTATAAATATTTTATTTTTAATTAATTATTTTGCAATTAATATTTATTTATAATTTTTTTAATTATACATTTCAAATAAATTAATTAAAAAACAAAAATTATGATTTTATTTTTTAAATTTATTAATTACGATATTAATAATATAAATAATGAAAATTATTTTAATTTCCTTTCTGTCTCTCATCATTATATTTTTTTATTTAAACTATTAAATTAAATATAATAATTATTATTTTGGTTTCTCTTTTATTTTATTTTTTTTTTACAAAAAATAAAGTATATTGAACTGTAAACGTATATAAACTGTTATATTATTATATATTATATTTTAGGTATAATAGCGTTATATGTATAGATATATAGTATATTAAATAACAGTAATTTACAAAAATAATCAAACAAGTGTTTTTAATAATATTTTAAGTGTACAAGTACATACAATTTTTTATTTTCATTATTATTTTCTCTTATTTAACAATTGCCATTTTTTTTTTCAGGTTTGTTTTTTCTATATACCCATAGAAAATCAAATTAATTGCATGTAAGTACTTTTTATATATTTTATATTCGTGTAATATAATGTCGAGTATATAGTTGTTATTATTAAATTATTTATGTTAATATACACAATGAAGCACCATAATTGAAAAAAATTTCTAATATTAAAGTTAAAGTTCAAAGAAAAAAAAAAATTTATTTAAATGTAGCAAAGCAAATATTTTTTATAGTATGTAAACCAAGTAAATATATTATACACATATGGGTACGTACATATGTATGTATAAAAGTAATATTATGTAAAACAAGAATTTTAACAACAGTAAAGTACGTAAAATGTTACTATTAACTATTCGTACATTATTTCGTATTTATATAAATATGTATATATTTATGTAATTCTATTCATAGGCAATAAAATTTTTGATATAATGTATAACTAAAATATGAAAAAAAAAAAAAATAAAGTAACGTCGAATACTATTATATGGATAATGATGAGGAAGAAAAACACTAAATAAGCCGAAAATATACTTATATATTAAATAAAAAACCACTTTACTTTTATGTCAAATAATTTCCCTTTTCTTCTTGTTTTCTTTCAATTTTTACAACACAAGATTATATTTATTATACACGTACATATGTACACATTATAAATTATTACTTTTTTTCTTTTTTACTTCATGTAATATGAGAAAAAAAAAAAACCAAAATTACAGCACTCTTTCTCTAATAATTTAAAATAACACATCCACTTCGAGAGACCGGCCGATATTGACTGACTGAATTGAAAAATTCCTAAAACGAAATCATATGAGTAGAAAAAAAAATCCATATAATATACAGCAAAGCAACAACAACGATACAACAGTAAAATTCAACATAAAATACCAAAAAAAAAATATAACATATAACAAAAAATACGATAAAATAATAAACAAAAGAAAAAAAAAAGAAGAAAATAAGAAAATCTAAAAATAAAATAACCAAAAAAAAAAATTAAACCAACGTAAAACGTAACGTACTCTATACTCTACTCTACTCTAGTTTAGTCAGCGTGTAACGTATTTACTCTATACACAATATTATGTATGAGTATAACAGAAAAAAAAAATATATAAATTTTTTTCCCTTTCTGTTCTTATTATTTTTCTTCTTTACAAACATTTTTTTAGTAATTTTCATTTCACCTTCATCTATTCTTTCTCTATAATATTATACATATATACAAATTCTAGCTCTACATTTTTTTTATTATCAACCATCATCAGCACCAACAGCAGTTAGGTTTATTTAAATTATAAACTAAAAAACTATAGAGATTTTGCAAGTATGTAAGTATTTTTATCTAGATATATGAATCTATATACAATACATAATATGTTATCGTATATCGTTCTTATAACTATTGCACTTATATTTTTATCAAACATAAATGAATATTACAGAAACATATTCATTTATATTCATATGTATGTATGTATGTAGCTTACTTTTCCAACAGTTGTTCTTTACTCTTCTTTGGTCTATTAATATTAAAAGTTGCATAAAAGATAGTAAAAAGGAATAAAAATCATATGTTGCTTCTCATGAGAACGAAATTAACAATAAAATAAAATGTATAACAGTCTATATAATATGTTATATAAAATAAAACATGTATATAACATGAAAAAATGTTAAAATTTAAATGATATTTTTTACTTAACTGTTACATTACAAATAAATATAACATTTATACATTTGTAATATTTTTTCTTATCAAAATTTTATCTGTTATGTTATCGTTCTTATAATCTTGATGTTATAACCATCCTAGTACATTGTCTTACGGTAATATTTTTACTAAAATTGCTATTATTAAAAATAATTGAATAGCACAATATCAATTATTGCGTGTATAACAATTTTAAATTTTAAAAGTTACAATGTACATATACATATATAGTTATTTAAGCTATTTAAAAATTATGTGACTTTGTATGTAAATTAAAAAATATATACAAAAAAATTACATTTTAAAATTTAAGTAATGAAAATTAAATTCAATAAATTTGTTTTAGGTACATGTAATTTCCAAAATATGACGTTTTCTTACAGTAAATTTAAAATGCATCCTAAACTTATTAAATATTTAAATATCGAAAAGCAAATCGTACGATAAAAAAATAAATAACATTACATATTAACAATATGATAAATGAGAATAACATTTAACATGTTTTTTATAATTTTTTTGAGAAAATTAATTCAACTCACTCAAAAATTAACTCATATTAATTTTTCGCTCTCTCTCTCTCTTTCTTTTTGGGATTTTATTTCGATATTCGAATTTTCTGTTAACTGTAATTTTGTTGTATGTTAATATTTTAATACGAATATAAAAATGTTAGTTCATTTTGTTTTATGTAATGTTATAATATTTTTGAATTTGTGATTGGATGTGATTAAATTCTTATATGAAGACCGGATAAGAAAACTGAGTATAAAAAAATGTTACAATTAGAGTTTAAGTATGATATGCAATTTTAATTATTTGATTTCACTTATATGGGATTAATGTGCATTTAATATGCATTTTAAAGGGAAGGCATTTAGAAAAATTTTGTTCTTTGTATATATTATGTAATACAGTCCTTTGTTAACCCTAATCACATGTGTGTATATATATGCAATGTAGCACATTACTAATATGGCATAGATCTAATAATATGACATAGACCGTAATTTTTTTCGTTCCATAGAAAGCCCATGGAAGTTTTCTGCTTGCACTGCAAAATACCTCCTTGTAAAACTCCAAATGTTTATTGAAATAGTTTATTGAAATAAAGGGTCGATTTTTATAATTTTTATAATTGCTATGAATAGCGCAATTAAATCATATGAACTCTTTTGCTTTTATATAGAATTGTCAAAAATATATTGCATATCAATCACGTTTGCATTAAAAAACTGCTATTATATTGGTTCTACGAGTATATTGATTTTTCTTATACACAAAATTTAAAAAAATGCGTTGCTTAAACTGTTGTGATATTGCGACAACAAGATAACGAATACTTTGACAGTTTTAGTTCAGTTGCCTCTGTTGCAATACCGAATTTGAATAGCTCAAAACTTTGAGAGACTAGAATGAATATTTATAATTGATAAAGCCACTGACATAAACAAAATATTTTATTTTCTAAAAATCATTCTCAAAATATTCTGTTTTTGGAAAGTGTCGATATTTCGAGTTTGAATATTAACCCAATTGCCAGCATCAGTAATTTTTTTAACTTTTTTTTTATTAATAACACCATAGCAAATTTTTTTCTTAATTTACCGTCTTGAATCAATTATAATAATATCGTTGTTTTGCTGTTTTTAACGCCACCATTAAAATTCTACAAGTCACTCTAATTATTTCATTATAATTATTTTAATATTGTGGCACACATACTGTTCTAAAATTTTTTTTAAAAAGTTTGAATAATCATGTCGTTGAAATTTTAAAAGTAACAGCTTCATATAGGAGCATGACAATGAAGGACAAACCAATAAATCTAAATTTTATATTTTGTAAAATTTATGTAGCTATGTACAATTATGTTCCATTAAACGATTCCATAATTTTTT